AGAACGGTTCCCTCTGGGCCAGCTCATCTGCCGATAGGTTGACGGCACAGGGCGTGCCGAACAGCGTGGAGAGCACCACAGACAGTGCCATGATGCTGACATCATCGGTTGCATGCATTTTGAATGAGTTGCACGCCATTGAAAGGAACGCAATATTCCTGGAGATATTTTCGGGAGCTAGCGGTATCACTCGCAATATTATGAGCGAGGCTGGCGCAGGTGCGTTTTCTGTGGAAAAGAATGACCACTGGTTTCAAGACGCCACCCTGCTCATCGGGATGCTTTATAGTCTGTGGGTTGCATCGTCTATAGCTGTTGGGGGCACAATTCACTTCAGTAACCAATGCTCAACATGTATACGAATGAGTTCGGGACATACTCGTCGCACTACATCGTACCCGACAGGCGACGAGTCCAGGCCCGACGTCGTGCAAGCAAACCACTGCGCATTGCTAACGTGGGGACGGGTGGGGTCTGTGTTGCACGGGCAGGGTGATACTCGAAGTTGGCAGCATAGTGTCTATCATGCAAGGCACTGGGTGAGAGACCGCACATACATATATCCACGGCAGATGCACATACATAAGCAGCACTAATGCACGAGAAATAGGAGACGGGGAACAACTATATAATGAATCCGATGACGATAGCACCGACTACGACACATATGGCAACATAAACACGTCGAACACCTGTGCAGAACAAACACTTACAAATGTAGATAAGCTGCGAAACTATACGGGACGACTATACGTGTGCATGTGTAGGAACATTAACTTAAGTATCATGACGTGCGTGATTGGGGTCCATCACAGCACTGGTCGCAAACAGTAAGTCAACACACACACACACAGCCAACACTAAACAACACTGTGCAACAACAGCAAGGTTTCAAATGTATGGCATGGCGTTGTTGTTGTTGCAACTGTTCCTTGAACACTGTTAGACTTATGTCCCAATGGTATTGAACATGGATTCCAATACTGATTGTCTGGTGCATCCATTCTCGGCTGCTCCTGTCCTCGTGCGGTGCGTGTGTCTGGGAAGTGTCAAGTCGATGCATGCGCGCGTGAAGTGGAGGTCTTACATGAGTTTCTTTGCCCAGATGCGGGGGGGGGTACATCATGGTGGAACAGCCTTTCAATTCAATACTATATTTATACCGCCCTATGGCAGAATCCCTCAAAATGGTCAAGGCACGCCGCATTGTAACATATCTGTCTGCGTTTGGGCATGGAACTATCAAACCCCTGGAGTTGTGGACTACGCTTCCAGAAGTTGATGACCTCATCAAGTCGCTTCGGGCAAGCACGGATCGCCTTGGCACGCAAAAGCAATGTTTGTCACGCGTCACCCCTAAGTCTAAGGCTCGGAGCAAAAAGGATGCTGGTCACACTACCAAGAAGGGCTGGAGCGCCAAAGGGTGGGTAACTGGAGACACGAAGAAGTTGAAAGAATCGCAGGAATATCCTCCAGATTTTGTGGCTGCGCTGTCCTCTGCCGTGTTGCGAGCATCGCGTGTACTGTCTCCGCCTGCTCCTGCTAGTGAGCTGGACTGACGTGCTGCGAGGGCGGCGCGTCAGGAGCAGGCATTGTTTCACATGTGGCTCGGCATCGCCAGCCACGCTCAGCTATTAACACGTTAATTTTTCTGTCAGTCTCAACAGTCCAGCTGCGCACGGGGCACTGGAGGCGCAGCAATGAGATGCAAAGAACACAGGTCAATGCTAGAGAGACTTGGGTCCGTGTGTACGTTGATGCCGAACGGGCGTTGGTTTCCAATGACCGTGGGTTTGGTGCTGTGGGAACTCGCGCCAAGCTGTGCGAGACGTGATTCCGCATGTGCAATCCTCCCCACACATTTTAGATGTTAGTCTCTCCTTCTCGTGCAGTTCCTCTGGTGGCCCAGCCAGGCAACTTCAGCATGTTTGCAGGGACGTTTCAGGGCCCTGAGGGCGCCCGCAGGAGAGAGGGAGCGCATGCGAAATCCAATGGTATTCCAATGGTAGCCTCAGGCGCAACTACGACACGTTGGAATTCCAATGCAATTCCAATGCAACGCCAATGCAAATCCAATAGAAATCCAATGGGAATCCAATGGGAATCCAATGGGAATCCAATGCCAAGCCAATGCAAATCCAATGCAAATCCAATGCCAATCCAATGCCAATCCAATGCCAATCCAATGGCAATCCAATGGCAATCCAATGCCAATCCAATGCAAATCCAATGCAAATCCAATGCAAATCCAATGCAAATCCAATGCAAATCCAATGCAAATCCAATGGTAATCCAATGCAAATCCAATGCAAATCCAATGCAAATCCAATGCACGTCCGGTTGGTGACCATAGGCCGGCGCGGAGGCGCCGAGGAGCTGCCCGCGCCGCGCACTCTCGTTGGTTGTCTTTCCCTCTGGTTGTGTTCCTTAGCCACCTGGCCCGAACGGTAACCCTGCAATACCTAATCTTCACGCCAGCGCCGCTAGCAGCACGCGCTAAAACTAGCACCATAAACATATAGCAATACCACCCTGATCAGAAGCAATAACACTGCACTGTAGCATCCTTAACCAAACACCCCAAAATTCCCGTACTAACCCTAGCGCCTTATTTTTAACATCTTAACCGAAAACTCCAATACTCCCCATACAATCCGAATCCTGCAGCAACGCTCACCCAAACATGGTGACATCAGTCCGATTTGCTCCTCCTCCTCCTCTTCCTCCTCCTCCTCCTCCTCCTCTTCCTTCTCGTCCTCCCCCCCATCCTCCGTTGGACTGTCTTGCCCACACGGGCCATGTCTCTCGAAAGATATATGAGGATGATCCCTGCCCCTCCCCGCCCCGATCTCGCATGGGCCGCCACCCTCACGACACGACCGCGGCGCCGCCGCTGGTCACTCGGCGCTTGAGCTGCGCAGAGGTGGCCACTGGCGGAGGAAGGAGGAGGAGGAGGAGAAGGAGGAGGAGGAGGAGGAAGAGAATGAGGAGGAGGAGGTGGAGGAAGAGGGGGAGGAGGAGGAGGAGGAGGAGGAGGAGGGAGGAGGAAAAGGAGGAGGAAGAGGAGGAGGAGGATCACTGGCGCTCTCCAGAAGGTGACGGCGCGGGGAGGGCGAGAGGGGACGAGAGGGGAGGGCAGGAGGAGGGGGTGGGTGAGGAAGAGGAGGGTGATGAGGAAGATTATGAGGAGGACGAGGAAGAGGAGGACGAGGATGAGACATGTGACGACGAGGAGGAATAAAAAGAGGATGAGGATAAGCATGAGGAGGATGAGGAGGAGGAGGACCAGGAGGAAGATGAGGAGAACGAGGAGGAGGAAGAGGAGGAGGAACACGAACGCACCCGAGGATCCTCGCGGACCCTACCATGCCCATGAAGTTGCACGCGGGCCCCCCTTTTTGCTGTTGCTTTCCTTCGTTGCGGAGAGCCCTCCATCCAGCAACAGTTTGTCTTGCAACTCGTGGGCATATTGTTTTTGCTTTCGCTGGGGCCCTTGAGAGGCCTGGACAGCGGTCCGCAAACCAGCAACTCCAGTAATTATTCCTCTTCCTCATTCTCCTCCTCCTCCTCCTCCTCCTCCTCCTCCTCCTCCTCCTCCCCCTCCTCCTCGCCCTCCTGCCCCCTCGACCCCGCTCGCCTCAAGGGTGTCGTGATCTTATGAGTGTCTCTCGTACATTTGGATGATAGGCAGTGCCACCGCTGCTCTTGGTGGCAGGGCCATCCAGCCCTGGAGCCTTTTCGTAAAAAACTCAAGTTAATGATAAGGTAATCGTGCGAGGGGACTGGTCGACGGGGCTACCTTGACAGCCCTCGGGGGATGGGGGAGGGGCGGGCGAGAGTGAGGAGGAGGAGGAGGACGACGACGACGAGGAGGAGGAAACGGCGGAGGAGGAAGAGGAGGACGAGGAAGATGAGGACGAGGAGGGCAAGGAGGAGAGAGGAGAGGAGATAGAGGACGGAGAGGGCGTGCATGAGGGAGAACAGAGTCAAGTTCTCGGCCCGCCTCTTGCGCGCCGCGGCCCCCCGTGCTGGCCACGCGCCCCCCCGTGAAGGCTTGCCCCCTCCCCTTTTCCAGCTGCCGCCAGGAGCAAAACACATTCGAAAGGATCCATCTAATAATGGGGGGCGGAGAAGGAGGAGGAGGAGGAGGAGGAGGAGGAGGAGGAGGAAGAGGAGGAGGAGGAGGAGAACGAGGAGGACGAGGATGAGGAGTAGGAGTAGTAGGATGACGAGACTTACGGAGGAGGCGGAGGAGGAGAAACATTATGATGATAATGATGATGATGATGATGATGAGGAGGAGGAGGAGGAGGAGGAGGAAGAGGAGGATGGGGAGGAGAAGGGGGAGGAGAAAAAAAAAAAACCAGGTTAAGTACGAATGCGGGTTGGAAGAAGACAAACACGCAATAATAGGTGTTTCAATTGGACGTTCACTATACAAGCGAACTGCCGGCGCAAAGCGCATTGCGAACTCACATGTATATTGATATCTCAATGCCACGTCCTTCGTATATGGCATTTCCTCGTGCATTCCACGTCTACGTCTTCTTTTGCATCCACGACCAAAACGATTTTGGCCGTAGATGCCCAACAAAAACATGTTGCCAAAATCTGGCCGTATCAGACCTCAGGGATCCCGATCCACGCACATGCAGTGCCGTCTCGTTTTTCTCTCTAGGGTTGAAGTTGGCCTCACAGCTGAGCGCCAGGACGCGTGGCTGTTCGTTCATCAGGGTATCCGCTTTGAAAACAGCTTGTGACGTCCTCCACCTCGTGCCACACGGACACGGTGGCGGATCCTGACTTTTCCAGTGCGGGGCCCCCGATAGTCCCGACCGTTTGCCCAGGGCCGGCTTTTGAGTCCCGAGTCTTCTTGCTGACGGCCCCGGGGCCCCTTGCGAGGGCCTTGGGAGGCTGAACACGGCCAAAAGCCGCCCGTCGTGTTTTTTTCCACGGCGCGGGCAGGTCTGGGGGATCTCTTCCCCGCGCGCAGCCCCGAGGAGCAGGGAGCTCCGGCACGTGATGCGGCAGATGCAGGGCATGCGGAAAGTCTACTCCTCCATTGCGCGGCCCGGCCCCGCGCACGCCGGCGAGCCGAGGGCGGCCGGGCGGCCCGGCTGCGAGGCGTCCGAGGCGCACGGCTTCAAGGAGGCGCGCAGGCACGAGCTGAGGCAGCTGCAGGGCATCTCCGGGGGCGGGGGCAAGGATTCCAGGAAGATGGACCTCGGCGCGTTCGTGGACTTTTTCCGGGAAGCCGGGCTGCTGCTGGAGCACGACACGGGCCGCAACGTGACGAGGGCCGCGGAAGGAGATCTGCTCCGCGACCTGGTCCGAGGCTGCCTCCTTGGAGCAGAGGCGCCCTCCGGCTTCGACCTGCAGCGGCCATCCTCCACGGAGTCGGAGCTGACGGCCAGCCTCAGCAGGCACAGGGATCCGCAGAAGCCATCTATGCACCACAATCGTTCCTTGCCAGGGCCGTCCTGGACCCCAGCCAGGGGGCGTACACACCTTAACGGGCGAAGAACGGTATCAAATAAACCTTTTCGCTGTCGGGGGCGCCTGTCCCAGGGCGGCTGGAAAGTCTATACCCTTACGGTGGCACCGTAGGGGTATAGACGTTCCAGCCGCCCAGGGACAGGCGCCCCCGACAGCGAAAAAGGTTATGTTCTACCGTTCTTCGCTCGCTGAACACCATGCCATGGGCACAGGGTGGCCCTGGCCAGACACGGCGGTGGCGTATGATAGACGCTCTGCGTACAGGGAGGAGTGCCGCGCCAGCGCGCCGGAGTCCACGGCCGCGCCCCCGTCGCGCCTCGGGCTCCGGGAGGACTCGCCCTCGGAGCTCTCCGACGGGAGCCCGCGGAGGAGCACAGGGGAACGACGAAGGACATAAACATGAAACCTCGGAGGTCCGCGCGGATTGCTCGGATCGGCGCTGGAGCCCCCCCTCTTGGCGCGCGGCGCGCGCCAGGGGCGGCGCCGAGGCGCCGCCAGAGGGGGGGGTCCAGCGCGGATCCGAGAAATCCGCGCGGACCTCCGAGTTTTTATGCTCATGTCATTCTTCGGGAACCAGCATAATGCGCCTTCAAGCGGCACCAGCGTCAAACAGACAACACGGGCATCAGCACTATGCACCCTATAGGCATCCTCGTCTTTGTTTTTCTTTTCCTCGCAAGTCACGCCCACTTGTCCTCCAAGGAGGAGGAGGAGGAGGAGGAGGGGAGGAGGAGAGGGAGTAGGAGGAGGAGGAGGAGGAGGAGGAGGAGGAGGTCCACGCCCATTCTTCGTTCCCCTGAGGAGGCCGTCGCTCCACGGCGTCAGACTACGAATACGAATACTAGTTAAACTAGATAGTTAGACTAAGGATAAGACTACTAATACTAGTACTACTCATACTAATAATGGCACGAATACTACGAGTTAGAAGAATAACATCAATAATAATAAGACCGGGAGGAGGAGAAGCAGGAGCAGGAGGAGGACGAGGAAGAGGAGAAGGAGGAGGAGGAGGAGGGGCAGGAGCAGGAGGAGAGCAGGGGAGGAGCAGGAGGAGGAGGAGGAGGCGGAGGCGAAGGAGGGGGAGGGGAAGAAGGGGAGGAGGAGGAGGCGGTGTAGGAGGAGGAGGAGGAGGAGGAGGAGGAGGAGGAGGAGGAGGAGGAGGAGGAGGAGGAGGAGGAGGGAGGAGGAGGAGGAGGAGGAGGTCCACGCCCATCCCTCGCTCCCTCGAGGAGGCCGTCGCTCCCCGGCGTCGCCGAGCGCGGCGCCGCGCCGGGGCCGAGCCGCGCGGCGGGGCGCCGCGCAGCGCCGCGGAACGCCCGCGCGCCCCCCACGGGCGGCTCGGCGGCGCCGGCGCCCCGCAGGGGCCCGGGAGCGCCAGGGCGGCGTCGCGGGCGGCGTGCGCCGGCGCGGGCGGGAGGGGCACCGAGGGCGCGGCGAGCCGGGGTCGGGCGAAGCGGGGGGGGGGAGAGGGGGGGGGGAAGTCAAAGAGGAGGGAGAAGAGGAAGAAGGAGAAGAAGGAGGAGAAGAAGAAGAAGAGCAAGAAGAAGGAGGAGAAGAAGAAGAAGAGCCATTTAAAAAAAAATAAAAATAAAAATAATATTTTTTATAAAAAAAAAAAAAAAAAAAAAAAAAAAAAAAAAAAAAAAAAAAAAAAAAAAAAAAAACTTGTGGCGTTCCGCGCGGGTTTCTTGGATCCGCGCTGGGCTTCCCCGGGCGGCGCCTCCGGCGCCGCCCCTGGCGCGCTCCGCGCGCCAGAGAGGGGGGTCCAGCGGATCCGAGAAATCCGCGCGGAGCGCCAAAAGTTTATGCTTGTGCCGTTTTTCCCCCTCCTAGCAGGTCCTAGCACAAGGGGAGGGGAATGGGAAAGGAGGGGGGGATGCGAAGTCTGCCCCATGCGCCCGGCTTCGGCCGCGCCGCCGGGCGCTTCCCTCGATACAGGTGGTGCCTCCGGCGCCGGGAGGCTGGCGACATCAGCCACGTGAGTTCCCCCCTTGACTGCCCCCCGTGTCGTCCGACCCGCTAATCATGGCCCATGCCGCGCTGGCCCTCGCCCGCATAGATGTCAAGCGCGGCCTGCCAGCGTGACTCGTTGACGCGAGCGCACGGACCGTGGCCCTCCCGCGCACGCGCGCGCTCGGAGCGCACGGCAGCGCCCAGGCGGCCCGGGAGGAGGGCGGGAGCGGCCCGGGCCGCGTTCTGGCCCCGGTCCGCGCGGCCTCTTGTGGTGCGTAAGACCCAGGAGCCACATTGTCACATCTATTTCCTGGAGGGTGTCCAGGCTTTTCCCTTGATAGGGCATCCGATCGGCAGCAGTGCCAGAAAGCACAGGGTTCTCGTTCAATGCATGAGCCCCCTGCCGAGTGTAATCTATGGTCTTATCACTTTTGTCCGACAGTGACATCATGTGCATTCATGTGCGCTAGTCTCCGTCCTGCTAGGCGTTCATGGGTAGCTGTTGTGCTCGGTCGGCAAACACCTTCGTCTGGTAGGTATGATCGGACCTGCACCCGGTCGCTTTTATCTACAAGTATTGGCCGGCCACAGGGAGCTAGCGGTTTTTTTTGTGAAGGATTTGTGATTTAGAACGGTACGTTCTCCACCCACACAGCGACCGCCCATGGTTGCTAAATTTTAATATCGGCAGCTTCTTGATGTGACTGCAGCCTGGGCCGAAGCCGGAACCAAACAAAACATTCAACCGGCTACCAGCGTCGGTGGATATCAGTCGTCCCCGCGTATGAGGCCATCCTTGCTGAAGGGTCACTCCTGCCACCGAGGCCTGTCCCACGACCTCGCGTGCGCGCGGGCGGTCACGACCTCTCGCACGGCGCATGTCGGTTTGAGCGCACGACAGCGCTCCCGCGCACGGGAGGGGGGAGGGGGGGGGGAGGGGGAGAAGGAGAAGCAGGAGGAGGAGGAAGAGGAGGAGGAGGAGGAGGAAGAGGAGGAGGGGGAGGGGGGGGGCGGAGGACGGAGGAGGAGGAGGAGGAGGAGGAGGAGGAGGAGGAGGAGAGGGAGGGGGGCAGGCAGAGGAGGAGAAGGAGGGGGAGAGGAGTTGGTGGAGGTGGGGGTCGGAGCAATGTGCTCGTAGTTTTCCACGTTTTCGCAGGTCGCAGAATGTGGTCCAGCCGGCCTGCGATTGCTGTGCCTTCGGACCAGCGACCTCCTTCTCTCAGAGCAGGTTGTGCTCGGGCTGCCATCGATCAAGAGTTCTCTCGCATTTCTTGGTATACCCATGGCTCGCCCGCATGATGTCAAGCATCCTGCGAGTGGCATGGAAGTCATGCCATCCGGCAAGTGTTTCGAGACACGCGAGTGTTATCACGTGTGTTGTGGCTATAATACAGGAGCCGTGGACGGATACCTCCTTGATTCGGCTTGTCTTGGTCACACCTCAGTCTCATTTCCGTTGTCGCTTGATGGTTTCCACGATTCGGTTTTGCGTTGAACTACTACACCCACCCAGCACTCCCAGATCTGACATCGTCATGATCACCGTATACCAGCTGCTTGAATGCAGATTGGAGTCGTCCTGGAAGCCTGGGAGAATCTCGGGGGATTGTTAGAGTCCGATTGGGGCCCGTCGGGGTCTTGGGGCATCGTATCTTGGGCGCGATGGCTCTCTGAGATCTCCCGACGAGACTCGGCTGAACAATCTTGGGACCGTCACTGGGCGGGTCTCTTGAAGCCCTCTTGGGGCCGTCTTGGTGGATGATTGGGGCCCCCTGAAGCTTTCAAAGCCTCGCAGTCAAGAGACATCGATTTCCCGATTTGGCCACTCCACGCTCCAGGCCTCGCCCGGGGGCTTCCTTGGACGAATCTTGGCGGTTTCTCGGTGCCTCTCGGAGCCTTTTTGAGGGGCATGTCGACTCCTCGGGAGTGGCGTTGGGCTGTCTTGGGCCGATCTTCGGACACTGTGCAGCCGTCTTGGAGCGGTCTTGGGCCGTCTTGGAGCAATCCCGAGGCCGGCAAGGGTGCCAGGGAGCAAAAGTTGGAAGGATGATGTCCTCAGGGTGCATGCTACGAGTCTTTTTCTTTCAGAACAGGACGCCATCCCTACCAGACAACTCGGAACAGGAGGGAGGAAAGGAAGTTGAGGGGAGAGTGGGCAGCGCGATTGCCAAAAACGGCAGCCATACCAATCGGTTGCTTGAAACCCTGGTCCACGCAAAAAATGAAAAAGCACAGGCCACGAGGGAGGAAAGAGGGAATAGGAGAGGAAAGAGGACGAGAAGAGGGGTGAACCGGAGGAGTATTCCAAAACACTCGGGGCACCGTTCAGGCCAACCTGCCTTAAGCGAGACGTGATCTGAGCCCAAGCGTGACTGAACACGCAAACTTCCAAGCCCGTTCGGCACCAAAGGGGACCTCCGAAGCCGAGGCGCCCCCGCCGCCAAGGCAGAGGGAACGAGCCTTATGTCGGGCGTGTCCCCCTACAGGGGGGATTTTCGACGAACCAAAAAAAAAAATACCCCCAAAATATGCCCAAGAGGCAAAAAAAAAAACCCAGACTATGTTTGGAGCATCTTTTTATTATTTTTGGGGTGTTTTTTATTTTTCGTCGACACTCCCCCTGTGGGGGGACGGGCCCGCGGCACAAAACGAGCCCTCGAGGAGCGTGCAGAATGGGCCTCTGGCACGAGACAGCACAGGAACTTTGAGTTTTTCAGTGACCGCCACACCGATCACCACCGATCACCACACCGATCACCACAGCATCCGTTCTTGACGCAATCAATCACCACAGCGATCCCCCCCTCGTTTTCCCTTTGTTTGTCTGTCTTCCTTTATCCTTTCCGTTCGGTTAGGAAGGCGTCTTCCTAACCGAACTGTCTGTCTTCCTTTATCCTTCGCGATCCCCTCCTTTCCTTTATCCTTTGTCTGTCTTCCTTTATCCTTTGTCTGTCTTCCTTTTGTTGTCCTTTGTCCTTTATCCTTTGTCTGTCTTCCTTTATCCTTTGTCTGTCCTTTGTCCTTTATCCGCGATCTGTTGTTTTCCTGTATCCTTTGTCTGTCTTCCTTATCCTTCGCGATCCCCTCCTTTCCTTCCCGTTCGGTTAGGGAGGGCGTCGATGTGGAGGTGGCAGCCCGAGCTGCGCTCCGCTCTTCCAGCCTCTGGCGCCTCGGGGCCTGCGCCCGCCGTGCCTCGGACGCCGGCGAGGAGCCTCGAGAGCCTCGAAAGCCTCGAGAGCCTCGAAGACCTCGAGCACCTCGAGAGCCTCGAGCACCTCGAGAACCTCGCAAGCCTCGAGCACCTCGAGCACCTCGAGCACCTCGAGAACCTCGCAAACCTCAAGAACCTCGCATACCTCGAGCACCTCGAGCACCTCGAGCACCTCGAGAACCTCGAGCCTCGAAGACCTGAAGCCTCGGGCCTGGCCAACGGGAGGGAGGGAGGGAGAGGCAGGCAGAGGAGGCAGGGGAGCGAGCCAGCCCTGGCAGGGTTCGCCGGCGCTCCGCCTCCGGGAGGGAAGCAGGGAGGAGAGCGGGGAGAGTACGAGGGAGCCTGGAGCTGCAGCCTGCAGCATCGCGAGTCGCCCGAGCCACGTCGCCTCCCACAGCGGCTCCCTCGGGCGTCAGACCGCCAGTCGAATTCCGGCCACGTGCGAGCCAGCGAGTCCTGAAGACCAGCGGGCGTACGATAGCCTCCGGCTCGGGGTGAGGGCAGCCCAGTTGTGGCACACATATCGGCCACGTTGCCGGGACAGCAAAAAGAGGATGAGAAGAAGGAGGACGGCGAAGCGACGACGAAGGAGAGACGACGAGCGACAGAGCCGCGTGCAGCTCCATACCACACAAAATGTGCATCGTATCAGCGCCTGGACAGACAGATAAGAAAACAACGGCTGCGTGAAACAAGAACTGGCGATGACGCCGCACAGGCATGCAGGAACATAGGGGCAGAACAAGCCAGAGAATGCTGACAGCGAGTCGGAGATCTGTTTTCTCCGCCGGCACGTGCGAAAACACCACAGGGGCCCAGACACACTGCCGACAACGTAGCACGGCTGTCCTGCGAACGTGGCCGAAACTCTGGCCGCAAACTGGTGCAGAGAGGGGGAGAGGAGGAGGGGGAGGCCGAGGAGGAGGAGGAGGAGGAGGGAAGGAAGAGGAGACCTAAGGCACCCAAGTCGGGTTACGGAACCAAGGCCTCGAAAATCAGCGATGGCCCTCGACTCACGCAAGGGAACAGTACACAGTTTCGACAAATCCTACTGGTGATACGAGGCCACATCACAGCCGTCTGGATAGATGCTGGAGCTTCGGGTGGCCAAGCGGGGCAACCCGAACACAACCTCGAAGAGCGTCTGGCGCAACCGTGGTCGAAAGACCGGGACGCCAAGGGTTGTGCATCCGGAAGAGCGCATAAACGCCGACCGCGCGAGTGGCGATTGAAGCCGCAGTGGTTTGGTCGCCCCTGAAGGCATCCCACGTGCGGGGAAATTCACAAAAACATCCACCAGGCTGGTGGCTGGTGCTTCGCATGGTGGAGCTCCCGTTTCCTCAGTGGGGAGGTTGGCAGTTATCACATCAGCGCTTTGGCTTCATCTTGGCATCGCTCGGACGTGTGCATTTCTCCTTCGGCGAGGACCATCGAGGAGCATCCTCGATCATTTGGCAAAAAAGCACGCACGAAACCTAAAAAAACACAGGGAATGGACGTCCGAGCGATGGCGAGTCTTGGGAGAGGAAGGATCCACACCAGACGACGAACAGGCGTACCGAGACGCCCCAGCGGCTGCCCCAGTGCGCCGAGGCCCCAGTGCGGATGCACCCAGAACGTGCGGATGATTCGGTGATCTTCTCGTCCAGGGGGGGAGCCAATGCACTTTGTGTCTGCACGAACGACATGGGCACGGAAAGAATGGGTACAATGCCCAACAGCGGATCTGGTTCATTTTGAACAGGACTCGCTGTCCACGCCGCCGCGGCCTGTGTCCATTCAAGACAGAAGGCCGCCTGCCCAACAGCGGCCGCTGTTGTTTGGGACAATTTGTTGTTGGGCATTATACCCATTCTTTCCGTACCCATTTCGGGCGTCCAAATTGTGAAAATGGGCACGGACTCACATGGGGCGTTCCAAAAAGGGCTTTGCCTTCGAGGGTCGAAGGAGTTGCCATCTCTTCATCGGCGGGGGGCGGCGGAAGTAAAACGAGGCCGCCTCCGCCGGCGGAAGCCGGCAGAAGGGCGGCGGAAGGCGGCGGAAGTGAAAAAGGCGCCGCGAAGAGATGGAAACGTTTTTGGGTTCAGGGTTTCCGGAATCGGCCATTTGTGGGTCCAGGGTTTCCAGGGCCGACCACGTGAAGGTCGATGTCGGGGTGCGCCGACGCCGCCGGTCGCAGCGCGAGGAACGGTCGTCAGGCGGGGTCAAAGGCAAGGGAGGGAACAAACGCCACGACCCGTGATTGGCGTAGCATTGGACGCCTACCAAACAATCGCCCCGATTCGATTCGGCCACACGTACAGTGCCGTTTTTAACACATGCTCCGCGCGCGGATCATGCATTCAAAATTGCAGGGATTTAGCTTTAAAAACAACGATGAGCTCATGTATTAAAAAAGTCATAATTTAATCATGTTTAGATTCCTATATGTTTAAAAATCCTATGTATCAAAAACTGCGCTGCATCTTCCCAGCAAGGCGTGCCCAAGGGGGTCTGGCTTGGTTTTTGGAAGAAGCCAGCGGGTGCCCAGTCTGGGCTCGCCGGCCGGCTCTCCTCGGATTGCTCGGGGTCTTCTGTCTCTCGCTCGCGCGGCTCGGGCCGTCTGGGTTCGTTTCTTGCGCTGCCTCCCTCGGGTTGTTTGGTTTGTTTGTTCTTGGGTTCCCTTCCTCTCGGCGGCGAGCGAGGGAGGGAAGTGAGGATGGGCGGGCCTTCTCAGAAGGCTCGGAGGTCCCCGGGCCTTCCGAGACGTTTTCTAAGCCTTCCCCGAGGACAAAAGAAGCGTCTCGGAAGGCGCGAGGCTTCTGGGAAGTCCCGCCGTCTTCTTAAAAGGCCGTCTCCTTCCCCCTCGCTCGCCGCCGATCCTTGGGTTGCTTGGCCCTGTTTATTGACTGGCTTCCTCGGGTTGGTTGGTCCTTTTTCTTGGATGCCGTCCTCGGGTTCCTCGGTTTGGGTTCCTTGCTGCCTAGCAGCGCCAGGCAACGCAAAGCAACGCCAAGCAATTCCAAGCAATGCTAAGCGATTCCAAGCAATGCCAAACAATACAAAGCAATGCAAAGCGACGCGAGCGAAACAATGCAATGCTAAGTCCAGCAACGCCAAGCAATCTGAAGTAATACCTTTTGTGCTCAGTTACTTTCTCTCGTGCGCACAGCTGCACCGAAGGTCACCCCTCCCCCCTCTCCCTCCAGGCCTCCCATACGGGGGCCGGATCCGCGGGGTCGGAGGATCGCGCTTCATCGGTGATGCGTCTCGATGTGAAGCCCGATTCTCTCCGCGCCGACGTCGTCGATGGTCCGACGATGCATCGGCGTTGCATCGGCGATCCGGCTCGACTCTCCGTCCCCACTTGCCCGGGCCCAATCTGGGAGGCCTCCAAGGTCACCCCGGTCCCCCTCGCCATGCCCCCCCCCCGCCCGCACGCACGGCATCTTCGACGCTGCGCTCGCCGGTATGGAAGCCCTTGAGGAGGGGAGATTATAATGTTGTTTATTGTTTGTTAAGTGCTTTGTATGCTTTTCTTGTTATATATACATATATATATATGTATTACCTAACAGCGAAGACTGACAGGTTTCTAGTAGGCTCAAAAGAGAGCATCATGACGCCCCAGGGGGGTCTGGGCAGATGCCGGACGGGTGCCGGGGAGAATCCGCGGAAGTCGTTTTAAACAATGAGTTACACATTTCGTGGTCTTCGAGGTCCCAGAACTCCATTCCCGGGCCACATTTTGAATGCCCGGAGCCAACTGTAGGCCACTTCGTGGTCTTCGAGTTCCCAGAACTTCGTTCTTGGGCATGATTTTGAATGCCCGGAGCCAACTGTAGGCCACTTCGTGGTCTTCGAGTTCCCAGAACTTCGTTCTTGGGCATGATTTTGCAATAGGCCTGAGGCGCTGAGGCTGAGGCAGACTGAGGCTGAGGCAGGCTGAGGCTGAGGCTGAGGCAGGCTGAGGCTGAGGCTGAGGCAGGCTGAGGCTGAGGCTGAGGCTGAGGCTGAGGCTGAGGCTGAGGCTGATGAGGCTGAGGCTGAGGCAGGCTGAGGCTGCTGAGGCAGGCTGATCTGAGGCTGAAGCAGGCTGAGGCTGAGGCTGAGGCAGGCTGAGGCTGAGGCAGGCTGAGGCTGAGGCTGAGGCAGGCTGAGGCTGAGGCTGTGACTGCGACTGCCGTTGCCACTGCGACTGTCATCGCGAATGCGACTACGACTGCGAGAACAGCAGAATTCTACAACTGGATTATCATCTGAATCTTAAGGGGAATGCTTCCAGATATGCTCCTACACATCGCAATTAGGATGCGTTGCTGGGAGATCTATATATATATATATATATATATATATATATATATATAACGGCGCACCTGGTCTGGGGGCCCGGGGCCGGGACCACGACCGCAAATGTGGGGACCGGGGGCTCTGGAGGCTCGTCGGGGCTTGCCGGAGGCCTCCCCGGTCAGACAAGACGGCCCCAGGAACGCCCAAGACGGCCCAAGAAACTTCCAAGAGGCCTCCAAGAGGGCTCCGAGATGCTGAAGATGGCCTCCAGACGTCCAAGGACGCCCCCAAGAGGCCCCAAGAAGCCTCCAACATGCGTCCCAAGAGGGCCCCTAGACGCAAAAATTGGCCCATTCCCTTCGTAAAACGTACATTTTCAACAAAGTTGTCTTTTGGGCTTTCCGACGTTACAGGACGGCCCAAGAGGCGCCCAAGACCGCCCCAAGACGGCCCAAGAAGCTTCCAAGAGGGCCCCAGGACAGCCCAAGAGGGCCCCAAGACGGCCCAAGAGGCGCCCAAGATGGCCCAAGAGGGCCCCAAGACGGGCCCAAGAGGGGGCCCAGAGGGGGACCACGAACCGCAAGCTCGAGCCTTCCGCCCCAAGAGGCCGCCAGGAGGCCCCCAGGAGGCCCCTCAAGAGGCCCCAGGAGACCCCAGACGTCCAAGGACGCCCCCAAGAGGCCCCAAGAAGCCTCCAACATGCGTCCCAAGAGGGCCCCTAGACGCAAAAATTGACCCATTCCCTTCGTAAAACGTACATTTTCAACAAAGTCGCCTTTTGGGCTTTCCGACGTTACAGGACGGCCCAAGAGGCGCCCAAGACCGCCCCAAGACGGCCCAAGAAGCTTCCAAGAGGGCCCCAGGACAGCCCAAGAGGGCCCCAAGACGGCCCAAGAGGCGCCCAAGATGGCCCAAGAGGGCCCCAAGACGGGCCCAAGAGGGGGCCCAGAGGGGGACCACGAACCGCAAGCTCGAGCCTTCCGCCCCAAGAGGCCGCCAGGAGGCCCCCAGGAGGCCCCTCAAGAGGCCCCAGGAGACCCCAGACGTCCAAGGACGCCCCCACGACGCTTCGCGTCACCAATTTCTTCTCACAACGATTCCTGGGTCTGTGACTCGACAGAACCTAAGCGCGCGCGAAGCGCGCGCGTGGTTCTATATATATATATATATATATGTGTGTTGTTTAATTATCCCGGCAAAGCAACTTAATAGCGATGTGTATAAGCAGATCTGTAAGCATACCCTTTAAGATTCAGGTGAGAATCCAGTTGTAGAATTCTGCTGTTCT